ACTTATGATTGCTAGCTGCCATCACACTATACATCCAATTTTAGCCAAGGTAATCATTTTTGTCGCTTGTCCCCGGCTTAACATCACTCAATTATAATTCATATTTGCTTTTTCAGTATTTTTGCGGACGACACGCCCGATTCGACATCAAAAAACGTTTTTATTCCATAATAAATCCACGTTTACCATATTGACTCGCCGTACGTTCTATTTACTTAGCGGATGATCAAATTTATTGCGTCGATGCTTCAAACAAAAGCGCCGATGTTTTAAACCGTTGAAGCCAATTTTCAGACGATTTTCCGTCGTTAAAAATAAAAGAAAATAAAAAATCAGTCCTCAAAAACGCAAATAATGTTGATTAAGCACACAAAAATTGTGCATTACACATTTGAAGATCGGAATCCGCAAATAAAATTACAGTTTAATAGATGAAAGTGTCGAAAACAATGGAATTAAATCAACGATATCACTTTCATGTTATAATAAATATTTTGATTTCTATCGTAATGCTGGATTGTATAAATTGTGGAACATCTTGTCACTGTTTGGTAATTTGAATATGGTAAATCTTCAAAAATGACAAAGTACCACGTAAGGAAGGTGGAAATCTTGGAAGGATAGACAACAATTTCATGAATTTTTTTCCAAAGGAAAGTAGCGAAAAGGTAACTTAATGGGTGTTTCTCCGACCTTTGACCCAAGGAAAATTCTTCCTTTACATTACCATTGCAAAATTTCTGAAGCTTATTTTGAGGCTATTTTGACGATTTGGAGTTTACAACCTGGTTTACGCGTTCAAACTACCATGCTAATTCAAAATATTCAACCATCCGCCATTTAAAAGTACGTACCAGTAGAAAATCATTACTGCACCTGAAAAACTCGCTAAGTAAAAAAAGTGTCGGAGTGGCTGTGGAAATTTCAATTGTTACGTCACGGTACGCATTTTGTTGATGAGGCAATGGTGTGGAAGTAAATTTAAGAGTAAGTGGTTAAGTTTCATACAATCTTGTGAATATTAAACTGGTATATTAGTAACTATTCTTGAAATATTATACCCACTTCATACCGAAAAAATAAATTAGCTACATACATTTATTGTGTATATATATATATATATATTTTCATAATTTATACGACAAATTACAAATAGAACTTCGCATTACTATTATTGTAAAACTATACACAAGGCTGTGATATCTTGTAACTCAAGAGTAAATTAATCCAACCACTGCTCTATGGTGAAGCATGCGTTTTTGTGTTCTTCATGATCTATAAATGATACATAGTAGGCAAATGTATCGTATATGACATTAATACCATTTATCAATAACTGACAAATTACAGTAAGATTTTACGTTTCTGGTTAGTTGCATTATTTTCAAACGACTCAACCGGGGGGTCATTTCAGAACTAAATTAGTGTGGTAATTGGGTCCAAGTTAGCTGGGCGAATTCCGTAACGTGCGTCGACTTTTTTAAATTTCGGGGTTCGAATTATTTTCCATGTACTTAGAGGATTTTCTACGATTGAGCTCATCAAATTTTCATCAAAAATACATTAAATATTTATAGTATTTTTAAGATGTGGAAACATGAAAAATTTGCTACGTTGTTATTATTTTTAATAATTTAGTTTTATTAACTAATGGTTAAAAACATTATAAAAAAAATTGTAAAATTTTTAGTATTAAGAAAAATAAATTTTTCAGTATTTATATTTTCTGATGATAGCAATATTGCAGTCAAGTACACGAAGGAAACCGTAGTCACATTTATGCCAAAAATGAGAATATACATTCAGATCCAATCATTTGATGGAGATGCCATAAGCTTTTGTCATTATTACACTCAACAATAGTTAATTTAACATAATATAGTTAGAATTTCACTAAATATCACTAAATTATGAAGAAATTGGTTTGTGTTCATGTCTCTGTGTTTGCACCTTGCAATACTTGTTATTGCGATAAAAGATGTAAGAGAAGCGAATCTTTTACTGGAAGATTTATACTCGGTTGTGAATTGGCTGACAGCATGGATAATTAGAAAAAATATCTGAAAATGGTATTGAATTTTTAAATCATAATTGAAATTCTTGTTTCATTAAGCACCAGAAAGACCTTCTCAGAGAAATAGAAGACGACAATCAGTTCGACATATTTATTACTTTGGTTATGTATAAATTATTATGTGAACCACGTGACTATCTATGCAGAAGTTAAATAGTTGGTAAATTAGGCAGGTAGATTGTCGACAAGATTGAACCAACTTCCTCTCTTTCCGTGTTTTTCAATTTGTGACAGATAAGCGGAAGTGTTCTTGATACGGCGGACGCCAACACATAGCCAGCCAGGCTACATTTCAATTCCTTGTGGCGTGACGCAAGACCACGTCATCTGATTTTCCGCTATTTTAAATATCAATCGAAGGTTTGATGTCCTATACAAAGTATAGCATCCGTGGCATTTTATCGGAGTGGACAAATTGATCTTTGGTGTCACTGATGGCCCCACCAGAGAAATTTGCTACTCACAATGCAAAAAATAAGTATCTTGGTTTAGATATATAATCAATTGAGTGGACATCATGCTCGATAACTCCTTCTTCAACAAAGTTGAAATCCTGACTGACATGCGGCGAGCACTTTTCAACACGTTGATCAGCCGACAATATCACTCAAGCATGTCATCTTAAAAAGAAACACGAGTGAGTCTGACGGTTTATATTCGAGTCGTCGGAAGCCCAATAAAACACAGATTATACGGTACCTTTAATTTTAAATAAATTTTTACGTCCATCCTTTCAAAGTACTTGGAGGTCAGAAACAGCAAATGACGGAAACTTTAGATCATTTCTTCCGTGCTACAACTCCTCATACAGAAGTTTTGAACCGCATGGAGCCCAAGTTCTTGTAATATTATAGTCGTCTGAGTTTGGTGGAAAAACCCATCAAATTTTGTACGACTCTGATTGATGAGTATCTTTCAATTAAATCATTGGCCGGGTGCCTGAAAAGAAAAAATTTAATTGCCATATATGCACGTCTGCTGTCTAGCTTTACCAAACATGTGTAGCGGATAAACAGTGCTTTCACGCTCTATGGCGTTTTAAAATTTTATACTTGAGCGTGTGTTGATAATACGAGAAAACCATACGATAAACTTTCAAAATAATTAGGTGATTTACAGCTGATTTCGTCATTCGCAAAAAAAAATCACAAAAATAAAATGTTACTATTTTTAACGTTCTGCGTTCAAAATAGATGCTGCTTTACAGCGAAACTGACAAATATACAAATTATATGCTTAGAATAGCCAATATAAAATAAGGGTAATTTTTGATAATTTACGTCGTATACGCACTATTTTTTCCATTATCTGATGGAAAATCTTCCGTTTTTATTTCTATCGAATGCATTTTCATCTGTATGCGCATTACACCCGTTGACCAAGTTTGGCAGAGTATTTTGTTTCACAGCTCATGATCCCAAGCAGATAAAAATAGTTCGGGATTTCGAGGTAACACCCATTGCAACTGGCTGCCGTTGATATTAAATGTTGCATACGTTTGTATAAACATAATAAGTTACCCGTATTTGACCTAAAATGGCTTATATGTGGCCTCTATTCTCTATTTTTATTACCAATTTCATGTTATTTTGTTGAGCTATAGCAATGTTTGCTCTCGGAACATTGGGAATTAATTTGATTTGAGTTTACACTCTCGTTCAAATGTTCAAGGTTTCATAAACTAGAAGCAGTTTACTATAGTGTTTAGTTAAGCTATATTATATCCGTCTCCCATTTCGGTTGAGAAATTTTAACGTTCAACAAATTTTCTCCGCGTACTTGTGAGTAATTAAATAAAGTAAATGAAATTATCAAGAGGGTTCGTGAAAATGTAGTGATCGCGCTCGAAGAGCTTCAAGTGCTCACTTCTCTGACTCGCTCAGAACTTAAAATTTTCAGCAGGCTATATCTAGTATGGACTAGTAGGCTACCATGTACCCAAAATTGCCAACTCATTGAAAACAAACGACTGAAATTCATGAACGTCCTGCCAATTATACTGCTATTTAACGCAGTTTTAAAGTTAAGTCAACCTCCAGCGATAAACGTATATTTGTCAGTTTTACCTCTGACTTCAATAAAATACAGTAGTGGGTAGGATTTTATGACGGTTTATTGCATTTAATTTGGTCCTATATCTTTGTCTATTTCGTATCTTGCTGGTCCGTCAGCAACGCAGGATAGTTGTTGACACTTCCAAACTACCGTGACACCGCGTTGCGGCTCTATGCCAGTCACACCCTGCCGCGACTCAAACAGAAACGCGGAGATCGCGCGCAATAAGTTCGTTTCGCCACATTGAAAATGCATATCATAAATCTGGAATATTGACTCTCGCAAAAATAATAAAATATTGTCTGCTGTTGTCACGAATTTTCATACCTGAGATATATCATCCACCGAAATACGAATCTTTGATTTTTCATAGGTTTAGTTGCATCAAAATTACGGCTGACAAGCCAAGTAAACTATATCGGGAATCGATTTAATGTGAAATATTATGTCTTGAATGTCTACATCTTTTTAGAGTAAATATACCAATGCCTTAATGACAAATTTAAAGTTTTTTTTGACATATAGTTAAATGAATATTTCCAATCGAATTCAAATTAATTGTAATATAAAGTATTCCATTTCACTAAATCATAGTTGGACAATCGTTTGTGTTCTTTTGATGAGTGGTAGATCAATCCAGTACATTAGAAATAAGGGCAATAAAATGGATTAGAAAGTTGAATTTTCAATAAGAACGATGAATAAATCTTCAGTTTTCTTCAAAATAAAATGATCTAAGGATGTTGGATAAAATCTTACTCTTTGATGATAACGATGTTCAGCAATTAGCTATTTAAAAAGAACCTGATTTTGTCATATATATTCTGTCCTGTGTTAAAATCCCCAAAATGATTCACACATTAGAAAAATATACATTTTTTGATTTTTATTTATTTCATCATAACAAATAAAAGTACCAATGAGCCGCTCAACAGCCAGTGAATTAAACTGAAATAAAAAAAAATAAGAATAGGAATGCAAATAGGAAATTTTATGGGAATTTATTAGCCGACCTCGCAGCTGAATAACAATATTTTTAATTTACTATTATCTTATTTTTCGAGTTAGTGAGTTTGATGACATTGAGATGATCAACAAAATACAGTGTAGGGGAGGTTTATTAATTAATTATTATTAATTATTAGTAAGATAATAACTTAAAGCAATAAAAATAGCGATGTTTGCAATGAATGTTCAAAAGCAATATGGTTTGCAATACAGGCTATCCTCTTTCGAGGTGGGATATATTACCTCGATCATATCCAATCGATAATGAAGAGGTGATGTATCACACTTCGAGTGGATTCGCCAAAAATTGGAAAAAGCACACAGTACGTTTTTGCATTATGAATTACAGTGAAACAAAATCGACGACCGAAGTATCATGCAGTTGAAGAAGATTGTTTTTTCACTCAAATCGTTCGTCAAATTGTGGAAAAAGAAATAAAACCCGTTTAACAAATTACAATTCATATTATGTTTTGGAATAAAAATGTAGTTGAAGGTTTTCACAAGGAAAGAACTTGAAGCGACCCAAAATGGTTGTTGGTTCGATGGAACTACTACGGAAAACGGTCGTCGCGCCATACTCGACTCTTTTACGGACTAGTAATGTCGCGACAGTCGAAAACAAAGAGCACCAAATTAAAAAAAAGGTCAAATACAAAATTAAAATGAAACAAAAATAAAGTACAGAAAACGTGTAAGGCATCAAGTATGCTACCACTCTCTACAATCAAAAGCAAGCAATGTTATATAAAATGGTAAAAATCAAGGCACTCCATAACTTACTTACGATAATAAAATACAGCTTTCAATATGGGCTTTGATATCAGCCACAGCGCTTCCTAAGTTGAGCAGAAACTGCTTCGGATTGGCGGGAATACAGCACTGTTTAGGGGGTTGAAAGTGTGACAAATGTGTATTATTCACACAAACTGTTCGAATGGTAGAACAAATTTCGCAATATGTAATGTATTGGTTGTGTTAGCTACAAGGTAAAGAAATCATTTCGCTATACTCAAAACTATAATGAACTTTCCGGGTGATAACACCGGGCCACCTTGTACTACAGTCTTTGCCATCTCCGACTCACCACGCGCTGATCCCTGTCCCATATTTTTGTTTTAGTACCCTCTCATCATTATCTCTTAGTACATGCTTCACATCGAGTGCATTTGAGGAATGTGTGCACCAGTTGCGAGAGGAACCATTGAATAGTGATGCGCAGGTTGCATCTGTGCCAGCCTTGTAGTATCCATGCCTGGACTGCTCGAGGGTACTGGTGTCGCACCTGCTTGCTCACCGCCATGTGGCAGATACATGCTGATCATGCTTTGAATTTGGCCGCCTTGTTGAGGTTGTCCTGGAATTTGTGGATGGTGTTGTGTTGGACTTGATGCAGAATGACAACCCGGAGTTTGGTGTCCTACTCCTCCGGGACTTGTATCTGGAGACTTCACGCTTCCGGAATGTGTGCTACCCGGATGAATAACGCTTCCGTACGGAGGTGTGCCGGCTAAAGGAGGGTGCGGCAAAGAATATGACGCAGGTGGTGGGTGGTATCCATTTAGTTGTGAAGGACTGGGATTGCCCATGCTTGCGATCGACGATGCTGCTGTGGTATAAGGAGTGTAGTACATTGACATATCGTATCTTGGAGTTAGATGACTAACCGCACCTTGTCCCGCCGCCGAACCGTATCCCTGAGACGCATAGTGATCTTGAGGTGATATCATCGCTGGGTAGGCGCCGTATCCGTTAAGATGTTGATATTCGATGCCTCCACCCAGCTGACTTCGACCCAGAGACGAGGCTGCCTGTGCAGTAGACGATTGCGGTAGGATGTTGCTTCCATACTTGTCTTTCTTTAGTATGGCTTTTGTTTTGCGACGTGGTCTGTATTTGTAGTCAGGGTGTTCTTTCATGTGCAAAGCCCTCAATCGTTTTGCCTCGTCAATGAACGGCCTCTTGTCGGTCTCAGACAAAAGTTTCCATTCAGCGCCTAAACGTTTTGATATTTCTGAATTATGCATTTTCGGATTTTCCTGCGCCATTTTTCGTCTTTGTCCACGTGACCACACCTGCCGAGAACGAAAATTAATTCAATTTCAATTGTGCGAAACGGAACCAAAATGGCCGACCGCATATTGACTTAATTAAATGGGAATCGAGCGATACATCGAGAGATTTCAACAGTTTAAAATGTTTAATATCTTACTGGAATTTTATATTCCAATATACGTCAGTCGTCTATAAAACACATTTTACGAGGAATTTTGACTACGAAATTAAATTAAGCTACTGATATCCCGAATCGACTTGTAAAATTTAATTTAGGTTTGAACTAAGAATAACGACTCACCATGAAAGCATTCATCGGCCTTTTTACTCTCTGTTCTTGCGAAGTTTTGTTTGTTGTTCCCGAACTTGGCGCATTATGCTGCATATGTGTCATTTGTCCGCTCATCGGCGAAATCTGACTTGAGCTGGAGTAAACTGGCTTTAAGTTGGAGTGTTGCATGAGTGATCCGTCCCCAGAAATGGGTGGTGGAGGTGGTAGATGAGTGTTTGCCGGTACCACCGGAACGCCAGGAGCTCCTGTTGCGTATGGAATCTGCATCCAACCGGCAGCGGCAGCTTGAGAGTCGACGGCTAACATATATTTTTTAAGGTTTAAAAATGGTTGAAATTGAAATATAGTAACTATAAAAATATATCAAAATGTTAGACGTGATATAAAAATACAAAGATCAATTCACAACTCATTTGTAACATGAACATAAATACATCTATTCAAATATTAAAATTTCTGTTTTCTATTCTATACAAAGGCAAACTAAAATTTTACGATGAATATTAATCAAAGGCGTTTGTATTCTTTTGCAAACATACTCAAAACAATAGTCTTTTCAGGTAATGCCTTCCTAGAAACAACAGATTAGAATAAGCCCATAATTCAATGGTTTCTGCCTTGTTACTGACATTCAATGAAAAGCTTTCAAATTTAACAACCGATTGTCTACGCTACCACAAAAGATTATTCAATAGAAAATCTTATTCACGAGCTCCCTTAACAAAGGCTTCAGAAATGCAACTGACGAGTAGCAACGAATAAGCGATCTCTTTATGCGAGAGCGACTTCTCTCTCGGCGAGTAGTCCGACGATCGCGTGCTCGCGAAAAAAGCGAAGCAAGCACGATAACGGCGCCAGCGTTGGGTTCAACGTAAATAGATAGCAGCGGTTTCAAGCTCCCCTCGCCAATATTGAGTAGTTCTAATTTTTATCTGTGTCCATGGGTAAATTTAGAAGGCTTATTTTGCCCGGAGGCCATCTAAAATGCAAACTAACCTATCCATTTAATGGACAGTAGATAAGCAAATCGGAACTCGATAATTTCTCTTGATAATGAACAAAGTTTAGAATTTATAACTTTTAACATTGATATTATATATTAAAATCACTTTTCAAAATTAAGACAACTCCACAAACTGTTTATAAATATTTTTGTAGTAAAACAGATTTGAAGAGGTTTCGAACAACATAAAAGACAATTTTTCTAACATGAATGTTCAATAGCCGAATTCACGCCTACTTTAATTCTCAAATACCCCTTTAAGTCCCAGATAGAGAGAGGGAGTTTACTAAAACAAGAATATGCGTTATGTTTAATGTACCGTAATACTGAATATAACTATAAATTGTATATCTATCAATTGTGATATTTTATAGATCTCTTAACTTTGCAGAAATCTTTTGAAATCATTTGAAATTCATTTTATTTATTGCATAATTTTACATTATTGTGTCTAAACCGTGTAATATAGCCACAATATAGGTTTATATCAATTTATTGAAGATTAGTAATTCTACAAAAGCTATAGCTTATTGACCAAACACTTTTGGCATTTGATAGTCTTGACATGTTCTTTTCTGATTTAATGATAATAATATCGGTCTACAATTGGAATATTCACATTAGATTTTGTGAAGTCTATCAACCTAAAAAAAAATCCTTCATCATCGACCTATGACGCAATATGTCAATGAGATATGGTTATTGGGCACCTTAATCCAGGCGTTTAGGAGCTTGTTGGAGCGGCGACAAAAATACAACTAATTCACAACTATATCGCCATGGTTATTTATTCTTATGTTGAAAAGTATAACACATTTGTTCGGCTAATATTTGGCCAGAACAATTGGTTATGAAAAATAGCAGTGGATATCAAAAATAGGTTGGTTTTACCTGCCATTATAAAACTTCCATGAACATCTTATAAATAGAAATCAATCTCATATCAGACATTCGGTCTACATTTTCCGTGCTTTCTACGTACCTCTGAGAGTGCTGTAACCTCTGTTTCAGCACTTGAACAGCGATTTACTCCTTCCTAGTGGACATTGTATAAAATTATCTATTCACACTTTTGAATAACTAGTGTATGAATTGATCAGTGAATAGTAGTGGTCATTATATGACAAATAAAAGCGTTTAACAACAGAGCGAACAATAAAAGGGGAAGATCTTGAGAACGACATAGTGAATGAAGTGTGGCTCATTTCCGAACAACAAAAAATAACAAAAAGGATTTTGACAATGGGACAATTTGTCGTTATTTCAATGGTATTTTGAAAATGTTGGCATTGACATTGGATTAGTTTTAAACGAGTATAAAAGGCATATAGTGTGTGTGTGTGTGATATTGTTATCTTTCGCAATTTGAATGTGCGTGAATTGTATGCAGCTTACATTTGAAAGATATCAAAAGTGTAAATGGTTAGGACGAGTTCTTGTAAATACTGTTCATAAGTTTTTTTGTGTGTTCGACTGATCTAAATTTGATGTCATTGAAATCCGGGCAAAATATGACCACTCGTGCCAATTTTACGAGGGTCAAGTGTATCTTACTCAATCTGTAACTCTTATCTTACACACTCGAAGATTGCGTTCCGTGAGACAATAGGCAAATTAAAATAACAATAGACTAACTCTGCGAAAACAATTACACCCAACACCTATTTGCCCCCCTTATCTGTAACGAAAAGCGATGCAGTATCGAAGACCAACACACTTAGCATGACAAAAGGAAACATCAGCAAACAGTGCTCAAAGAGAGATCATCTGCAAATTGGGGAGGATTTGTTGTTTGTCTTTTGTTTTAGTCTTTGTGTTGGGCATTGAAGAACAAACAATGTACGTGATTTACAACAGTAGCATATCAGTCGGAAGGCTAAGGCTCGCGTGGCTGAACAGTTGCGTTGTTATACGGACACCAATGTGTGTGATCAAAACACACGTGGTTAATAGTGAAATTGGAACTGTGGGAAAGTTTTATCCAACTGCGCTATATGTTTTAACCTGCATACAGATTATCAGAGTAATATGTTAAAGTAATATGTAACGGGACTGGCATGGAAGTATCGCTACAATAGTCAACAGTACCACTGTAGGGTTTAAAATCGATCTTTTTCATACCTTTGGTTGTGACAAACATATTAATTATATTATCATAAAAAAGTTCACGCTTTCTCTTATTTATTCCAACAGCATTCCACCTAAAAGTGATATGGACTTGATATTTGAACCCCGGAAAAGTTTATAATCTATTCGAAAAGATCTAAATTATTGCCTATTTTGACGAAGCACTAAATTTTAAACGCGTGAAGGGTTTTCCCACACGTTTCCCACACGAAAATAACTTGACCAGCCGTCGGGAAATTATGCAAAAAAAGTGGAAAAACGAAATCTATCGGTGTGGCGGAATCGTGTGAATTCTCCTACGGCCGGGTGACTAATGATGTGAAGGGGCAACGATGACATTATCGATATGAGGCAGGGGGCGTTATTATAAGGAATAAGCGTGAGACCCTATCATTTTATGCAACGTAATAGTCACCAATGATACGAGTTGCGATAGCAATGGTCAGGTATGTCTCAAAAGGCATGGCATTATGGAATATTATTCCGACTTCGTTAAGCGCACATTACCAGCCCTATAACTAGTAATTTCGTTACATTGCCCTATATTGTTAATGCCACACAGCCTAAATTTGACTGAATACTTATGATGTGAAGAAACGCCGTTCTCGCGATGTGGTAGTTTGTGGCCATGCCCGAATGCGGATTGAAAATCGATGAAGCGTTCTGGTCGTGGCTCATGCTAGATTTAAACAAAATTTCAAATGGGGATATTACCCCATGCTTGTTTGTTGTTGCTTGAAGGTAAAATAAAATTAATTCATAGCCCATGAAAAGCTTAGTAAACCCCCAAAGAGGCAAAATTCAAGCCTTAGAATTACTTCGTTGCGTTGGGCACAGCGGGTTACGACGCCAGTGCCGTGTGGGAGAATTCACTCATCTTGGCCGCGCGTCCAAATTCTCTCTTTAATAATTTTCCTAATATATGTAAAGCCCAGTAAAGTATTTCTCAAGAAATAATCCTCACTTACGCACAGAGATCACGAAAAAACGCGAGTCGTAGACTAAAAAACACGCGGGATATCGCAAAGAGTGACCTGAATATGCCGTCGTAAATTTTCTGGTTTAATTATTTCCCTATGCGCTGTTCTCAAATCGATAAGCATTCGCCGCGTTTTTATTAGGACTTCAACTGCGAAATGTCGGCACTTTGCTTTTAAATTCCAATTATTTCTACCTAGGCTTTAATCAATGTTCATTTCAAACGACATAGGAAATTAGGGTGGAGTTGTTAAAGTGTATCGAATATTTTTAATAACATTTTAATAATCGGTTCAATTACGCGGGAAAGGCATGAATGGGTCAAGGGCAAATCGATGAACCGTTTAGTTTTCCGAGTATCACTGGTGATTGACAATTCTCACGTTTTATAACGCTCTATGTTCTGAGTATAATCGACACATCACTGTGAACTACTCCTGTTTAGCCTATTGGAAATACATATGGTCTGGTGGCATTCTCGAAAATTGATGATTTCTGCTCAATCCTTTAATTACATCACATGATGGCTTACTTTAACTATTCATCCAAAATTTTACATCTATCCAAACCCAAACATTACGATTCGTATAGATCTTTGTGAACTATATATTTATGTCAGTTAATTGAGCAGAATATTCTCCCACAGTGGTTGTTACCAAGTGAGAATTAATAATAAAACATCACATTTTAAAATTTGATAAAATTGTCTGCCAAGCACGGCTGGAGAACAACATTCATCAATATAAAATTCAATCTTTTACTAACTAATAAAAATGCATTGAATTTACACTGTTTTTTTGCTTTAAATATGATTGAAATTTGAAAATCTTTTGCGTTCAAATGAATCAGGAACAACGTTTTGATTTAATTGCTGCGATCACAAGATAACCACAGGCAACGGGGTCCCAAATATCAAGTTTTGGATATTAACTAAGAAATGCAGTTGTTCATGTAATTCATGTCTAATTATTGATGGAATTTAGTTCTATGACTATTTTGTCAATAAATAATCACATTTTGGGCATATATAACGGGCATTGTTGAATACTACATTTTAAAAATTTTCAAATTACCATACACGCTTGGCATTGTTTTACCTTTTAAAACTAAAGCGGAATTCTTCCAATGAAATATTAAGGACCGGTACTCCTTAAATAACAATTATTGGTTGAATTTTTACGGCGCCATATAACGGTATTTCAATTCTGATGACGGCAAAATATCTACATATTCAAGGGCTATTAATTTTTCTTCCAATGTACGTGGGTGGGTTAGTATAGTTTATTTATAAACGATTGATTACGTCATAACCAATAAACAAATTATTTCCCGAGTATCTTTGGCCGAGGATTAATACATATCGATCTCTCATGTAATAACTAAAAAATTATTCAATTTGGGAGGTTCGTTTTGCAATATTATAAATTCACGTTTCGTCTATAATGGACTTATGTTAAATATACTTATACAAAAAAGAAATTACATTTGTTTATAATTAGTCCATTATACCCCTTCTAGACCTGGGCTAAAATTAATCAAACTTTTGTGGTGCACCTTGTCACCTATTGCATAGCTAAATTTTATACATTTGTAATCAATGTCATTGCTGCAAAGTACCGTGCAAAATAACATGCTTTTGAAAAAAAAATATTCATGAATATAATTTACCCAAATTACAACAACAACCTACAACGATAAGACAACTTGAAAATGGCACACAATTTCCCTATGTTTTTAAAA